TGGCATGTGGTGCTGGGGGATTGAACCGCGGTCCCTGATGCTTTTGCTAAGCTTGTTCCAAGTAGGTGCTTTAGACCACTGAGCCATCTCTCCAGCCCCACTTGTTTAAATTTTTGAGCCATATTTTTGCCTCTGAATTCTTTGTGTTGTTATTGTTCATTGCTTACAAGGGCACATTTGATTAGTGTAATAAGCCAAAAATAAAAATCCTTCTACTTTTTCAGAGTGGAGAAAAGTGGGGATTTCATTGGTGCTAAGCCTTGGCATGTAGCTATTCTGTTTGTCTTTTCAAGTTAGAACATCCTTAAACATCAGAACTTGCAAAATGGTTTTCTTCTCCCACCCCACCCCCGTTTCAAACAGATTTTATTGGATTGTCAATGTGAGAACCTGACAGTGCTTGTGGAGAAAACCCAAAAGTTGAGAACATTTTAAACCTGCCCCTGGTGGGTCTTACCGCTGCAGCTTCTGGCATCCTTGCTCGCGAGGCTGCTCCTTCTGACAGCTGCGTCTGTCGTCGTTTTCAGCTAGGGCACAGTGCTGCACTGTTGCTCAGGGGTTATGAATTCAAAGCTAGTTCGTAAAAATGTAGGCATCCATGTATAGATTAGTTATTTTTCCTCCTGGTAATTTGGTGTTTAAACATTTTACAATAAATTTTATTATCAGAAGTTTTGCTGCCCTTTAAAAATAGTATAAATGTGCTGGGGGCCCTCAGAAAGTTTAAGAACTGGGCTTGGACAGCGTTCATAAGCGTGCAGGAGAAAGCCTGACTCACGTTTGTTTTCCCGTATTGGTTTTATGCTCCACAGGTGGCCACTGTCCTGATCCTGTCGCCTTTTCCTAAGTTTGCTACGTATAACTGTCACTCAGCAGTTTTCTTTTAGTTTTAGCTCCTTGGAGTTTTCGCTAGGTGGGCACCGGAACCGTTGCACAGAGAGCCGCTAGGGGCGGCATCTCATGTCCTGCTGTGCTTCCAGCGGCGCGTGTGGATTCAGGAGCAGTGCTTTCGTACTCATTCTAGTGCTCATGTGGTTGAAGTTATTTTCAAGCTTACTTTTACTTGATGTGTAAAGAATCACATCTGTCTCCAGGTACAGCAGTACAGTGTATTTTGGGGAAGCTGGAATAAAATCACTGATGTGTAAATTTTGGTATGCTCCAGAGTAGAGGAAATGGAAGTCGAGTGTAGCATTTCATCTACCATTCTGGTACACATCTGTTTACTAGTTTATCTCCCTGCAATTCCATTTGTTTTGGGTATTTCCTTGACCAAATCACAGATCTCATATTTGGTGTTTTCTCTTGAATTATATAGACTTTGTTCATTTTACTGCATGCTTATTGATTTTATGCTCTCTGTCCAAGGTACTTTTATTATGTACATTGCAAATATTTTTCTTTAATTGTGTCTTTCACATGCCATAATATACAAAGATTCAGTTTCTCTTATTTTGATGGCTTCCAGATTTTACACTGAGGAAACACTTTTTCACATACCTAACATACTTGACTGAAAATTCTCAAGTATCGAAATATATATTTGCCATTTGAAGATACAGGTTAACTGTCACCATATATGGAGAATAGATTTTATGTTTTAATGTATATACCTGTTTCTCCCTGCTACTGTATTAAACACGTTGTGATTTCTGCCACTTTGTACAGTTACGGGTATCACATGAATCAGTGTTCCGTTCACCATGTAAGCCCGCTGAAGGTTATCCTCCTTTCCTATGATACGTTTGTCACTCACTGTACTCATATAGAACAGTCCAATAGTATACTTTAAAATCTTTCTTGTATATTAGACAAGCTGTACCTCCTTGTTTAGTAATTACTATTTTCAAACATTTATTATACTGGAAAGCTATAATTCCTTTGCCAAATTAAAGATGTAATTTAGAAATGACTAAAAGTTTTTTTTTAGTTTTTGCTTTTGTTATTAATGCTTATCAATTTTGCAGAATATTGGTGTTAAGTACATCCATCTTTTTTTTTTTTTAAATTTTAGGGAAGGGTCTACAGGGTGTTCAGGATCTCACTACTAGATTGGACTTGTAGTGATCTGCCTGTTTACAGCCTCCCATGAGTTGGGATTACAGACTTGCACCACCACGCCCAGCATCCATTGCTGTCTCAGCATGGCAGGCCTGGGGATTAAACCCCCAGCCCCTGAATCTGCTTACAGGTGCTTTAATTCACTGAGCTATTTGGCCAGCCCTAGTACATGCATAGTTTAATCATATCCATTACTGTATTTCTCTGATCCCACACTAGGGTCTTTTTATCTCTTGATATGTGAACCACTTGGTGTCATTAAGGTGTATGATAATATGGCCTCCTTAGTTTAATTCCATTGTTCTTAGACATTCTCCATTAAAAACTGTAATGTTTTCCATTGACATTTTAAATTATTATTTATGAATTGTATTTAGTGTGCAATTAAGGTTTTGTCTATGAGACAAAGTTTAAGTTTCAAAATCTAGGGCTCAGCGAGATAGCTCAGTGGTCTAAAGCACCTGCTTAGGCAAGTGTAGGCAAATGCAGGGACTGTGGTTTCATTCCCAGCACCAAATGCTCTGCCAGCCCCACCCCTAAGGTAGATTGAACTGGCCACAAAAACAAAAAAAAAAACCCAAACTAACAGCAAAATGCTGTCTAAATACAATCAGAGAAACAAGAAATCAATTCCTTAAATAAGTTTAAAATAGTGATATTTCCAATGATCTGCCAGAGCAATTCATTAGATATTGATCTATCCCAGTTTTTTAGTTATATGTTGCTTTTATAGACTCCTGTGAATCAGGCTTTAGAGGTAGGGGACACGTAAAGCTGAGTCTAGTCGGCAGGACAGCCTGTGTTCTTGTTCTGCTGTGGCTTTCCCAGTGGATTCCGCTCTACTGTCAGATTTCCTGTGTGAGGCCTGCACACCACTGGAGAATGTGTTTGACGACCTACATGTGAAGTCAGAATAAAGTTCAGGCTCATTTTAGCTTCTCATGAGTGGAGTTGAGATGTTCCATGCTCTAAACTTCAGTCTTCACAAACATATGTGTGGTGATTTAGGAGGCAGTGGTCTTTAAGGATGTCGCTGTGACCTTCACGGTAGAGGAGTGGGCTTTGCTGAATCCATCCCAAAAGAAGCTCTATAGAGACGTGATGTCAGAGA